GAGAAACTGGAATGGCTATTGCCAAAAGACAAGAAAACTAGAGACCTTTGAAACTAGACTAGAAGCAAGAAAGGAGTTAACAAGAGTGAAGAAGCCTTCACTCTTGTCTCTATATATACTATCTAACTAAGGGCTACATGGCGATGTTCTATAGAACCTCCAATATGTGTTGACTTTGTAGGACACATGCCTTGATTTACAAGGCAAGTTTTTCTACGTGTGGGCCACATAGTTAGCTTGATCTTCAAGCTAACAACATGTGTGACACATGGCCAACTTGTTGACCACGTTTTTAATCCAAAAAGTCAATTAAAGACACCTATGAAGTCAAAGCAGTATCTATGAAGCTTCTAGGAAGCTTCCATATTAAATACTATAGAATTAACTTATTTTTACCTACTTTTACTTACTTCTACTTATTTGTATATGTAATTATTAGCTTACATGATTATGTCTATGACAGTATATAGATCAGAAGAACATCAAGTACTTCATATTGGCATGTATTTTGAATTGTCACTAAACTAGTTGGAGTATGTCTTTATTAAGTTTTTATTTCAAGATCACTTATAGATCCAAAAAATAATAAGGATTATTAGATGACATTTTTAGATATTTTTACCTTGCATCTAAAGAAAGAGATGTAAATTTTGATCAAAAAATAGTGATTTTCTTAAAGTTAGAGTATTTTCATCTTGAAGCAATATAATCAACATTGATTATTGATTTAACTTTTGTCAAAGAAATTCAATCAAGTATGTCTTTTAATTCTTTTGTTTATGATATTAAGAATAATTCTTTGAAATCTTGATACTTTTAAGTTTGACTTCAACACTAATCTGTTCTACTTTAAGGGACAATTATACATTCCAGAAGACAAAGCATGATTACATATTCTTCAAGCTTGTCATGACTTTCTAATAGCCAAATATTTTGGATACAATAAGACTTTGGAGCTAATATCTAGAGATTTTTAGTAGCTTCAAATATAAAAGGTAATTAAAGACTTTGTATAATCATGTGATATTTGTTCAAGATCCAAAATTCCTTGTCATTGATCTTATAAACTTCTTCATCCATTATCCATTCTGAAACAATCATAGTGTTTTGTTTCTATAGATTTTATTATGGATCTTTCAATCTCAACTTTATATGATTCTATATTCACGATAGTTGATTGTTGTATTAAAATGATATATTTTGTACCATGTACAAAATCAATTACAAGTGAAGAAATGGCAAAGCTTTGTTTTGACAATATCTATTGCTATCATGGATTGTCCAAAGATATTACATTAGATAGGAAAATCCAATTTATATCAAGTTTTTTAAGAATCTTTTTTTAGATTCTAAAGATGAATATAAAACACTATTCAACTTTCCATCTTCAAACTGATGAGTAAACGGAATGAATGAATCAAGTTCCTAAGCAATATTTGAGAATTACTATTAATTATCATTAAGATGATTGAACAACTCTTTTTCCATTAGCACAATTTACATACAATAATTTGGTAAATTTTTCTACTCAACAAATACTTTTTTTTGCCAATTATGGTTATCATCCATGATTTGATACTTTTAACTTTTCAAAAGTTAATAATCCTGTAGCAAAAGAATTTACAAATCATTTATTAAAGCTACATACAATAATGAAGGTATAATTAAAGAAAATTTAAGAACGTCAAAAAATTAATGTGGATGTCTATTCCAAAGAATAACCACAATTCAATGTGAGTGAGAAGGTATGGCTATTTTGTCACAATATCAAGACTTCACACTTATGACAAGTTAAACTATCATAGGCTTAGACATTATCTTATTAGAGAATAAGTCAATCTTATTGCTTATTGATTACATCTATTGGAGTCTATAAAGATCCATCTCATATTCTATATATTTCTTCTTGAGCCATATAAGATAATGAATATCTCAAAAAGAAGATAAATGTGACCTCCTTCTACAGAAGTGGATAATAATCAAGAATTTGAAATGGAAGAAGTCTTAGATTTAAGGCGGCATCAAAATAGATTAGAATATCTTGTTCATGAGCACAGATATGATATTAGTAAACATACATGACAACTAACAAAGAATCTTGCAAATGCAATAAAAAAAAGTTAAAATTTTTCATCGATAACATCTATCAAAATCAAGATAAAGAATAAAAAATCTTTGCTATATAAGAAATAAGATCCAAGGAAGATAACATTCTACCTTCTATTCTTGTTTGATACTTTTGTGACACTAAAGAGATGGAGAATCAACAACCAACAAATTGAATTCAAGAGCTTTCACTTACTAATTTACTAGACAAAACATTGCAATTGTCATAACTTTCAAGACGATGTAATTGAGATGATCTTCAAGAACAACATGTTCTTCTTTAAATAGATGGTTAGATACAATGTATTTTGTATCACAACCTTAGAAGAAACTTCTAATGTTTGGTGATTTTATTAGAGGTTGAAACAACTCCTAATGTTATTCCAAATATTTTATTTGAAAGGAGTTACAAAGGCCTCAACAAGCATCAAATAATAGGGTGGTCTTTCCACCTTGGAATAGGACACTATTGATGGCTGAGATGACCTATGAATTATTTTTAAAGAGAACAAAAATCACAGTATGTAGCAAACACAATTTGTCGCATTTTGGATTTCTTCAACATATGAAGACCGCTCCTTGTAGAACTCATCCCTAAAAGAAGGGATAGTGTAACAGACATACATATTTATTCTAATATTTACTAATATGATTAAATAAAAGTATTTAAAAATAAATTTATTTCAATATTTTTCCATGAAAACTTCCTAAAAGCTTTATAGATGCTTCTTTGACTTTACATGTATTTATAGTTGATTAGTAGTTTAGAAACTTGGTCAATAAGTTAATCATGTATTAATAGCTTTTGAAATAAGCTAACTATGTGGCACAGTCATAAAAAACTTGCCTTATAAGTTAACATATGTGTCTTATAAAATCAACATGTTTTAGAAGTCTTACAAGGCATCACCAAGTAGCTTCTAGTTAAGAGTATATATAGAGGCAAGAGTGAGGCCTTTTTCACTCTTGTCAACGGCTTTCTATTCCTTAGTCTTATTTCAAGACTTTCTAGTCTTCTTGTTTTTGGTAATAGCCATTCTTGTTCAATATTATATCATTTTTGAGTGACTTTCTAATTCTTTTCAATGATACAAGAGTATGTTAAGGATTTCTTTCTTTAAAAATCATGTCCTTTACACTAACACCATAATATAATATGATGTAATAAAATAAAATACAAATTTTATTTTTGAAAGACTTTTATATTCATTAAAAACTATGTAAAATATTAATGTATAACTTTGTAATTTTTAAATATAAAAAACTCTTGGTTTTATAAATGGTTGTAAATATTATATAAATATGATAATAGTATTATTTGAATATAATAATATATAAATATACTATAGTGACATCATTTGTTGACCTAGTTCCTTCAAATTATAGAATATATCATATGTATTCATATGCTTTTAGTTTGCAATGTTTACCTTCTAATGTACAAATGCTTGATTAATAATATTTACTTTATAACTAAATACAAGGACTTCATTGTCCTTATTCTTTACATTAACAAGATTTTTATTACTATATTGTAGTCAATACTATATATAAAGATAAAGTTTTATTGCCAAAGCATCCATATAGGATAGTTTAAAAGCCATATGTATTAAATTAAAGATTAAAAATTTATATATACTAATAAAAAACATATATATATATATATATATATATATATATATATACAATTTATTATTAGATTCCAACCATTTAAATACAACTCTAGATGTTAATATATTTATTAATTTTTTTAAAATATAAAATATTTTACTGATTTTAAATTAATTATTAATAAATTTAATAAAAATATTATTTATTAACAAAATAATTTATTAGATGATTAATGGCTAATGAATTTGTTTGTAATCATATCTTGTATTTGAGGCAATTTTTAGATAGAGTAGAATATTTTGTACAATGGCACAAATAGGATATTAATACATGCATGTTTGAATTATCTAAAAATATTACAAATGTAGTAAAAATAGATTTTATTTTTCATTAATAACATCTATCAAAACCAAGGACCAACCGTTGACATCAAGATGATTTACAACATGGATGAAAAAAATGATTTTTTTTTTTTTTGTTTATTTTAAAATAAATTATAAATTATACTCTAAGACAATAAAGAATCCTCACTTTTAGATTCATCTCAAAAACTAGTAATAGAAAATGTATTGGAGGATTTTATTAGTCTAATTTGTATTATTTTCTTAAACATTAAATTGAATAAAATTTAAATTTATTAGATTAGCCGATCTCATTATTTTGTATAAAAAAATCCTTTAAAATACACAACCAAGAATTATCACAAGGACAGAAATTCAATCTCTATTCCAACAATATCTTTCTATTGATGTAAAAAATTTCACCTCTAAAATTTATTTAATAAGTACTTTTTTAACAGTTCTTGCAAAGTTAAGCATGGTTTTGGTAATTTGCCTCTCACCTCCTTGTAGATGCATAGAACTAAAATCCATTGGGCTTCATGTTTATTATGTTGCAATTCCAATCAACATAGTCCAACAACAGATAATGTGAGATGACTTTGCTCAACACAACTAGAGCTTGTATGGAACAATTTCTATGTTGTCATAAATCACAGTCTAACAAAATCCTAATATACCACCTCACTTGCTCAGCAGCTGAATGGCACAACATTAATGGGTGTCTAATTTGAAACCAAGCTTAAAAAAACCAGGAGTTCGATAGAATTACAACCGTCGCAAAACGGCCAATGACTTGCGCATTTGAACAATGGTTAAAAATCGAACTGTGAATATTGATTTGGCTGCTCAGCAAGTAGGGCATTTATCCCATCAGGATCAAGGCACGCAAACAAAAACTCATACAAGAACTTTAACTGTAAAGAGCAGATAAAGCAGTGCATATGACGTATTGGGAGGGAATTATGACTTAAAGATGGATGCAGTTTTTCGAGCAAATACATCCGTACGAATCTCAAGACCAGTACTGATTACAGCGTTAAAAATGCTGCAGTTCAATAGCAAGTCAAACTTATTATGACAACACTCATAAACCAAAAGGCAGTCTTGTACTTCATCAAGAGACCAAACCTCAAGCTGTACAATCTTTAAGCTTTCGAAAGCTTAGGACTTCCCAGTATCCTCCACAACTCCAGATTGCGGTCTAAGAGGTTCCACACAGGAGTTTAACAACTAAATGTACACAGTACAGTGTTCAAACACCCAGAGTGGTTGCCTTTTGACATCTTCCTCTTATGTGGTCAGGATGGATGGCAAATTGCCAGACTTCGTACCGAGGATTGGAGCTTGGGTATCGGGAAAGTGTTCCAATCCGGGAATGTTGGTTATGGTACCGTCGTCGTTGACAACTATGGGGTAAGAACAGAGATGGCCGGGCATGTCAACAATCTCGTCGCCAGCGAACATTTCCCAATGTTGGTCTGCAATACGATTCACCTTGCGAATACATTCGAGATCCCAAGGTTTTAAGAATGCATTGTCCAGCTTACCAATGTGCTCGTACCAACAAGACATTCGGAAACCGTGGATATGAGAGCGTGGGGGACGATCACGGCTCAAATGGTAAGGTTGGTAGGCTCCAATGGCGATTTCAGAGTCACGAGAACCGTCCATCGACCTCTGGTTAATGTTCGCTGATCCGATGATGGTGTACTCATCATCCACTGCAACAACAAAAAAGAATCGTCATTCTAAATATTCTCAGATACTGAGACATGTACTCATCGAGGATTATATATACAATTAAAGGAAAACGGCACTCCAAATTCGGCAATCGAGCATTGAGTAATGGGACTTACCAATCATGAACTTCGAATGCACGTAGATCATAAATCGGCGAGCCGCTTGAGCAGCTGCATAATTGCTTCCTTCCTCTGGGCTCTCAGTAGGTTCATATTCGCCCTCTACCTTGGTCTCTCTATTGGCAAGACAGAAGAATGTAAGATAATCCCTTGGACTTTGATCGTCGATACCTTGAGCACGAAGCGCATTGGCGATTTGCGTGTACATCATCTCCATTGTCTTCTTCTGCCAGTCTAGGATAGCTTGCACGGAGCCACTTTCGGGAATACCTTCAGGCCACATGGGTACCACCACGTATACTGCAAACCTCTCTCCATCTTCAATTTTGCTTACGATCTTTCTTGTGAGCTCCATGGGGATTGTGTGAAAGGCACCGGCATCTTGGTCCTCACTCCATGCATAGCAACTCCCTAAGAAGTACTGGTTTTCAATGTAGATGAAATCCTTGGCACGTCTAATGGCGTTGATGTACGCATCCTGGATACTACGGTCAATGGTGTTGTTCTTACCACTTGTCAAACCTGCTCTTGCTATTGTTTCTGGGTCCTCAGGGAAGCCATATGCCGCACCTGCAATGTGAAAAAAAACATTAAATACATGCATTTCAGAAGGACGACTCGAATTTCTGACATTGTACAATATCACAATAGTTCTATGTTATCACAATTGGAGTAAGGAATAGTAACTTCTCATGAAATCTCAAAATGCGTAACAGTTCTGCAAGATCATTCAACACTCACCTGCATCGATGGATCGGAACAATTGCACACTCCAAGTATCAGGATCGTCCTGTTCAGCAACAGCCGACGGGGGATCAATAGTATCAATTTCCTTAATTGGAATCAACCGATCTTCCTTGGCTTGCATTCTCCATCTCTGCTCAAAGTTCCAAAGCACGTCCCAAGCAACTGGACCTTCAACTCTAGCATGGATATCGTGCCACGGTTCACGGGGCCCTCCCTTTGCAGCAGATGTTTCCGGGTAGTTAGGTTGATGGAAGTCATTCATATTAACATCATTCAAAGTTCTGAACAAAGAATGGTTTTGGTTGTCGTAACGACCATCACAAAGGTCAATGCCACCGACAAAACTCATGATCCTCCTACGACCAGTGTCTGATCCCGGGAGCGGGGCATCCACAATGATAGTTTTCTGATGGTGAGTAAACATTGTACCAATGGTGAGTCCCTGAATCTTACTCAAACTATCATCGGGACTCCGAGGGCAAAGAAAACAGTTCACTTCGGAATCTTGGAAGTAGGCCTCTGTGTCCTCGTCATGAGTAGCCATCAAACCATCCCTCTTCATAAACTCAACAGAAGTCTTATCGTCCCACACCAGCATGTTGACACGCACTCCCTCCTTAGCTTTCTTCTTCAGGAGCTCCCCAAGCGTCAAGCCCATTGCACCTTCCTTCGGCCGACGAGGATCACGTACAAGTACAGTCTCACAGTAAACGGACCATCCTGTAATGTAGATCAGATGCCTGGCACCCATGATGGCGTCAAAAACATCTTCCCAGCAATGCGTGGGCTGCCTCTTCTGGCCCCCTGATTGGTAAATTGGGGGTAGGAATCCGTCTTCCATGTGTGCGTCCTGGTACAAGGTCACCTTACAGCCCCTCCTCTGTGGGTAGTAGCAATATGGTACACCTTTGTACCTAGAATCTGAAATGCCAAGTCCCCAATGAGGATCGTGGGACGCCTCGTAGAACTGCATCCTGAATCGAATCTGACTCTCATTAATCTGCTCATCGCCCTTGTACAGCTGATACCAATCCTCAACTGGCTCCCCGGAGAGCAATGACTCCGCAGGTATTTTGGCCCGGCCAATGACAACTGTTCCAACAATTGCACCATCCTTGACCGAAATAGTCAGGTCGGGCACAGAATGGCAGCAGTAAATGCGGAAGGATTCGTTCCACACTGGCTCGCTTGTTGATTCCTTCAAGACGCGCGTGCGACCAACCCTGGTGGTTCCTAAATCCACTGTGGCGTAATACTCGTCATCTCCCGAGATTGCATCTTGGGCAGCACCCACAATCTGTGCAGCGGAAAATAAAATTGTTCAGAATAATACGGATACATTTTCAGAAATTCCGTGGTATTTTAACGTGGCAGAACATTAGGAATAAACGTGTATGATCGATCTGCAAGCCGCATCCGACAAACATGAAACGAAAGTTCCACAATCATTTCCCAGTGACACATGTATCTTCCTGTGTGAACTTACGCTTTTGAAGAAGCTGCTAAATCCTCCTCCGTGGTGCACAGGGGAAGCAATGCCTTTGCACCCATAAATAGTCACGTGCAAAGTTCCGTGCAATAGAACATTCGCCATAACTGTAGAATCTGCTCAGATTCACCATAGTGTGTTAATGAAACCGCAAGACTACGAGAAAGGGGCACTTAAAAGGGAGGAAATCGCGACCTCTCCATTGCCATCGACATCTGAGATAAGTACCGACATGTTCGAAACTTAGATCTCATTAAAAATCTGAGTAGCTCAAGGACTCCACTTGATTCACGATCTAAAAGACTCATAATTCATCTATGAACAGATACTTTGCCTCACAAAACATCTCAGCACACCATGAAGCTTGGAGCATGATTTCCTCCGAACGTGGAACCGTGAATAACACTCTCCCAGATAAATCAGGGGTGTCGAAACATTGCCGGAAGTGAGGTTCTACGTCGTAAAACACCCATAAATCAACCCGTCAAGTATGGCACTATCTACTCTAGAGGCGGATCCACGGATTCCGCTTCATATACTCCCAATTCTCAACTAAGAAGCCAATCGCACGTGTGATCGGATCTGATACTTCGCAACGCATGCAAGGAGGCCACGTCCAGCAGAGACAAAAAACCTCCCATGGTTCACGACTGCGGTCACACACCGAAACCCATCAAAATCTGAAACAATGGCGAACAAACATACCTCGAAGATGGCTTTCTCAAACAAACTCCGCTACCCCTGGATCCACCCGAGAAAGCGACTCCAAACCCCGGAGAAAACACACACACACACACACACGCAGCAGCAGCAGCAGCAGCAGCTCTCCTAGGGTGAGAGGATGTACAAAGAGGAGTAGCCACCGATTCGGTCTTTGAGGGAGGAAGGGGAGAGAAGAAGAGGAACCACGAGGGGTGAGAGTAGCCTGGAAGGGTGGAGATACTAGTAGGACAGGTCCCAGGGCGCAAATCAGGTGTCAAGAGCACCCCGTACCAGGATCGTGGCCATGGGTGCGAAGATCGGCGGTTAATCTCACATCTCGCAAATTACGATGAGGTCCCACCACTCCCCACAGCCCCTCGAAAACTGCCGGCCCCGTCTTTATTCGCGCTCTGTCATCCCCCCTGCCACACCTCTGCTCGTTCGTTGATTCGTTGGTTTGTTCGTTGATTGGTTCGTTGGTTGGTTCGTTGGTTCGTTGGTTCGTTCGTTGGTTCGTTGGTTGGTTCGTTGGTTCGTTGGTTCGTTCGTTGGTTCGTTGGTTCGTTCGTTGGTTCGTTCGTTGATTGGTTCGTTAGTTGGTTCGTTGGTTCGTTGGTTGGTTCGTTGATTGGTTCGTTGGTTCGTTGGTTGGTTCGTTGGTTCGTTGGTTGGTTCGTTGGTTCGTTGGTTGGTTCGTTGGTTCGTTGGTTGGTTCGTTGGTTCGTTGGTTCGTTGGTTGGTTCGTTGGTTCGTTGGTTCGTTCGTTGGTTCGCTTTTTTCGTTCGTTAGTCGACTCGCTTTCCGTTCCCAGCTAAATTTTATCAAATCCAACCTATCCGCTTTATCTACACGGCAATAGGAACTCACTGGATTCCAGTTTCTGCTGTTGATGCCAATTGCATGTACTGTTTCAGAAACCATCGGGGTCTTCACACTGTTTTACGAAGGTCCATAAAAGTCCATAAAGCACCGACAGCATTTTGCAAGGTAAATATAATCTGATTGTTGTTGAAAAGCTCTGTTTTGTAACAACTCTGGATGGAACATTGCGATGTGGTAAAGGGGATAACAATTTATGCAAGGTTTGTTTGGCTTTTGTAGAGCATAAGAGAGGTGCTTGGCGGGCTTTTTTTTGTGCAAGGATTTCAGGTAACATGAGCAGAAAGATAAGGTTTGAAGATATTTGTGGTCATTTGATGTCTTGAGAATTGAACTGCTTTTTAGAGTGCAAATAAATATTAATATGATTGGCAGCATTCTGTATTAGTTTTTTAGTTTTTTATTTTTTATGATTGTTCTTTGTTACAACATATCGGTATAGAATTGTATATCTCCTCTTGGTAGACGTAGCTGAAGTATTGTATCACTCGAACAACTCATAGTGAAATAACTTGTTGTGAAATAAATGAGATACAAGATTTTTTAGTAAAATAAATCAAATAATAAAATAAATCCACAAATAATCCTGTCTGTATTGTAAAAAGATCAACATGTTACATTTCAAACTTATGACGAATTTGTAAGCTCGATATCTTGTTTATTTGTATTTTCAGGTGAATTCATATAAAGTGAAATATCAAACATATTATCAACAAGTGTTCTGAATAAAAGATTCCATTTGTCGTTCTTTTAGTTATACCTTGAAAAAACTATTTGCACAACCACGAGGACAACATAAACAAATAAAGTGATGCAGAAGATGTGAAGTGCATTAACAGAATTATGTGCAGAAAATTAAAGTACCTACTCTTTTAAATTTACAATGTTGAAGTTCATGTAGAGGTTTTTTGTTGTGCCACACAAAAATCTTCAGCTATGAAGCACAGTTTTCAAACTGACAACACGTAGAACTATTAATTGTAGCATCAACAGGTGTTTCCATTACCGATCTCGCATGTTCAAGAGCATTTCCATAAAAACACATGATAATTACGAACGTTGCAATCCACCTATGAAACACGTTAGAAAATATTGTCACAAAAATTCCAAAGAACCAAACACAGGCTTAAAATGAGAGCTGGTGAAAAAAAGAGCCTCTGGAAACGCTTTTGAAAGAGGGAAGTAGAGCGGGCGGGCGGGGGATCTGAGATCGGTGTTGACCAGGCCCGGTCAGGGACTCCAAACATAATCGGAGGTTTGGGTGTGGGATCAGGTTCGGAACCAGCACCCGGACCTGGAATAGGCATGGTACCGGAGCGGAAGGCGGGGGGGGGGTTGTGTGTGAGGCTCGGCCCATACCAGTCAGTGCCCCGACGCTTCATTATGCCAAGTCAGGCACAGTCTGATATTTTCCAATATAGTTCCCACCTACCACCGCGCCAATCACGGTTACTGGCTCCACTTCATGACGATTCGCGGTAACCGACCTCCGCTCAAGTGTGCAACACGTGGGATAACGCCGAAACCCCGCCGCGTGGATGGATAAGTTGTGCCGGATTCACACGGAGCTTCTTCTTCTTCGTCTTCTTTGTCTAATAATAATCTTCCCACTTGTCCCTGTCAGGTTCGTAGTACCTTGCATCATGCTTTACTGCCTCGTGCGTTTTTCGAGAACTTAGATGTGGGAAAAAGCTGCATAATCTGGCCTTCATCAGTAGCTCAGGAACAGTTGCAGAGGAGGAGAGGGTTCTCGAGGGTTCTCGTCTTTCAAAGGGGAATGCATGTCTCCGTCCTGTGTGTGCATCACGACTGGTAGCTACGTGAAGATTTTCCCCCTCGAGATCTGGGGTTTCAATTGGTAGGTGGAGGAGGTGCTCCGATTCGGGGTGCGAATCCCGTTACGGGGAATTATTGCATCTTTCTGGGTGCTGCACGAGGCAGGCCGTGCTCTGTTTTCCGATGGGAAATGTTGCTCGTGTAACCCCCGCGGGATGGGGTGGCAACCTTGGATTCTGACCCGGTATGTTGCGCCTTTTTCCCCATGAGATCTGGATACGTGTTCACAACGAAGCGTGATCCACTTTGATGCAAGTATCGAGACGAGGGCATTGTTTCCGGGGAATCCGACCTTTAAAATCTTTCAAGGCTGCATAGGGTTACTGTTCACGTCGCGTTGGGTGATTTCCCTTGCATTAAAACAATCCTTTAATGTTCGGCAGCAGTGATGTGAATATACTTCCAAATGAAATTGTACCTACCTAAAGGATGTTTCTGTTGACAAGATATTGGTCAAAGTGGAGACTGATGTGGCGTGCTCGGGTTGATTTCTGCTGTTGGTTTGTGATCTACGACTAGGATAAATACAAGGAGTTTATCCGCTCGTGGTAATCTTGATGTGGCTTCGCATTCGAGTATTTGTTTTTTTTGTTCATTGATTTTCATGCAGTAACTAGCTAAATAATAGCACATGAGCAAGTGTTCCAATGGTACTGTAGAGACACGGAAGGCCCCACTGCCTTTAAAGTGGCGCACAAGTGGCGCATCATCCGGCTTCATGCTTTGTTTGGTGATAGTTGACCGAAATGTTTCAAACAGAGCCAGAAACAATGTAAAGCACCGTGGTCGGTGAGCTGTCTGCGGAACCCTCAATGATGATGGCACGGTTTCGTGTTCCTTTTGGAAGATAATCGAAGCGATGCATCACCTCGTGCCTCGTATTGAGGAGTGCTCTATCGATGAACGTCCCTTGTGAACGATCATCCACGGAGACGTCGGGGCTGACCGTTCTGCCCCGACCCACTGTACCCCCAAGCACGAAGCATGGGTTACCCTATCTCACTCGCCAGAAAATGTGGACATGGAGATATGGGTTACTTCACCATAGTGCCTTGTACCTGGCAACGCGGTATGAAGTGGAGATTCTCGAATTCTTGTTGTGGTTCCAGTGATTGGTTATGAAACGACTTTCGTAGGACCGTTGAGAATTTGAACAATATGTCCCGGTGTTGGCGGTGATTTTCGCGACCAACGATTCTCAAGCTGATAGTACCCTGAATTCCGCGTTTGCCATCGTAGGGAATTGCCTCTGTCGTGTCTGTAGTTTCTTGTCACATCGATTCGGCTTCTGTAGTGCATTGAGGTTGGATAATGAAGTCAAGCTTCGTTGATGATTGAGTCTGGTTGCGGTTATTTCCGCTGTCGATCATCGCCGCCTGTGCTTCAGTCAGGGCATCATTAAAACACCAACGAGACTTCTGCCATGTCACAATAGCGATCGTATCTTGTTTTTGAAACGTTGATCAGTAGTAGAGTTCCCCTGACGATGAACTTGAATGCAATATCTGTGCATGTCGTGATTACTGCTGTAGTCTCTCGTCGTGTGAAGCTAAACGAAGAACATAGTTTAAGAAGTTGAACGAAGATCATTCAACAGACGATAAATATGAAAAGATAGAGCTTACACGATTCCTATTGTGTTCTTGCAGTATGTTAGGAGAAGAATCCAGCACTCACCGATGATGCCTTTGGGTACTTTCCACAGCCAGAGGGAGAGGCACGGGATTTTTGGCTTTTTGATTGCTACACAGAAATTCACCCAACCTTAAAGTCATGGAAAATATGCCACTCACTCATTGTTTTTGACATCGCAAAATCACGGAACCAGCCATTGTCTTATAAAGCGTGGACCAAAGTTAGGAAAGAAAATCCTGCACCCACCAGGTGTGAGGACCACATATCAGGGCTTGACCACGTAATGCACCCATGTGTCAAAAAAAATGGAATTGATCTAGGCATTGAGTTTGATATCGTGCAGTGCAGTGGGTTGTTCTTACAATCAGCCAGCACCAATTACGGTACCCAGACACGCTTTTTGAAATCTTCATTCAAAGTCACTGGTGAAGGGCACAACTTACGTGTGTCACGAATCTCATCACTGTTGAAATGTGTCGCCAAAAGCGAACTTGGTGCTAGTACCCTAACAAAAGCGGTGTTGAGTATCACATCTCCAGACGATCAAAATCGATATCACACACTCTTTGCAGCTCAATTCCGGAAAGCAGGATTGGTGGGTTGTGACGATGACACGACACAATTATTTGCGTGCCAACATTTGGCACATTGCATCTGACTGTGTGATGAAGAATCAACTACAACTAAGAGTCACGGTTGTTTCACATTCCTTCAGACTTTGGGAACATGAAGCATTTGCGGCAAAGAAGAATTCGCTCAACAATCTTTTACTTGATGGATTTATTATATTCTTTCATTTGATTCTTTTGTTTTCTTTCTACCATGATCTGCTCCGACATAGTTTTGGTTTTGACTTCTTTGTTTTTGTTGCAGTGCGATGGTGGTTTTGTTACAGATTTTTGTGCATAGAACAGCCACCCAGCTTTGGATTTCACATGGAGCTTCACACTCTGGGTCCTTGTGGGATTGGGGTATGGCACAAGTGTTGTTTTACTCTTTAAAAGAATCTGACGATGATGTTGTTTTAAAAGGATTAAAAAAAGAAAAGAATAAAGCGTGGCAAAAATCCAAAGAGAAGTGCTGAGATTAGTCAAAGCCTTTTTGAAAACATTCTTTTTCATCATCACTTCAAAATATGTGTATCCACCAATGAATAATGTGAAAATGATCTTATAAAAATGTTACACCTTTGGCGTTACTGAACAGTCCAACAACAAGTCCATCGTTTGAAGGATTAAAAAAACAGAACAATCAACTTATTACCATCACTTCAACCATTGAATCACCTCAAAATCCAAATGAACAACACACCCAAGATTATATTGATATGAATTGCAAAGAGACTGTGCAAGCATTCATCTAAGAACACATACAAATATTTTCCAAAATAAGAAATTAATTTTAATGCTATAACCCGAATGTTGTGATAGTTTTTCCATGATTTTGTGGGCAGAGTCGTGTGGTGTTTTCAAGGGCAGGGGAAAAGCAGGCCAAGACCACAGGCAGGATATTTTCCCGATTTCACTCTCTACTACCTTAAGGGACAGTGAATGAATGAATGCATTGACCCGACACCAAAAAGCTCACACACCTTTCGGATGCAAAGGGCCAACACAACTGGGGACCCCCAAAACCCTAAAACCTTAACTATTTACTGACGTGTCATTACGTGCAACTTCATCTCAGTCCCATGCTGCAACTCCCCAAGTGTTCCGCATCCAAAAAAATACACACACAGAATATCACGGAACAGTTGGTGAAAACCCATTTTCTGCTGTGGGAACTGGCTAGATATTTTTCATTTCCTTATACATTTTCATCCTCATGAATTCAAGAGAGGGGAAGAGTTTTTTTTGGGTGTATGTGGACGTGCTTGTTTATTTTATTTTCATTTATAAATAAATAAATAAAGATATATATATATCATAAAACCATGAATAAACCTTGGAGTATAGGAGTCTTATGCTTTAGGGTTCTTATCATGAACACAGTGGATTGCATGCATGAGGCAACTATTTTTGTGTTTAGTGTATTTGTTTCTTACTAAGTGTGATTCATACAGTTGATCCTTTCCACGTCATCCCTAACTAACAGATTTTCTGATGACGTGGATACCAGCCATTGGAAGCGAAACTGGACTAAATGACACAAAGCCAACAGCAGCCTGCCTCGTGGACATGGCGGGCTTGGTGTTGGTGTCGAGGGCGAGATTCATTTCGAGGTCCGTCGGAGGAGGATCGAGGAGGATCGAGGACGAGGCGGGGTCTGCATCCCACAGAAAAAATATAAATAAAATCGATTAGCAGCAGTGAAATTATGAACCGCTGCTTCGAGTGGCGATCCACCGTGCAATCACGACGTCGCTGCCAGAAAAGACGATGATCCCAATTTCAAGCGAAGTCGGTCGCGTGAGATTGCCTTTTCCGGCTGCCTGATTTTTATTGTTTGCGAAATTTCGGAGGTTTTGGGCCGTGGGTGGTGGATTATTACGTGTCATGTGCGCGCCTGCACAGGCATTCGTTCGGCAATGTCAATTCCAGTTTTGGGTGGATTTCGAGGCTGCTTGTTCTTGCAATTTCACGCAACGATTGTAGGTTAGGGCTAACTTAGGCTGATTTGTGGGTGGAGGAGCTCTATGCTTCAAAGCTCGGTGGAGTAGAGTTGGGGCGACTCCAATTGAGCCTAGTTGTGGGGATCTGCCACTGGAATTGAGTATTTGCGGAGTGAGGTGATGGGGTGAGGGGGGATCCCTGCCGGTGGCCGAGGTTTGAGACTGAGAGTAGTGGACTTTTGGTTGTTTTGAGGCTATTGCGGGTTTGTGCATTGGCGGACAGGTAGGATGCTGTAGATTTTCCGTGGAGGATATTCAGAGAGGGCTGCGGGCAGAGTCTTTCGGTTGCGCATTCGTAGGCTGGAAACGTGGATTTCGACAAAGGAGCTTTGGAGCAGCCATTAGAAATCGTAGTGAATTGTGGTGTACAGGAACTCCTTTTGTATTCTGCATTTCGAGGGATGCATTTTGAGTAGATCTCACGTAAGAAAACTACGCATCTTACACAGTTCTTCTGTTTTTCAATCATGAGGTTGGGTTGGAACAGATTTAGATACAGACTGAAGGACACCGGTCTTTGTGCTTGTTCGATTGTTGAAATACTCAAGAACTAAAGTGTTTTTGAACCTTCGCTGAGGTTTCTGTAGCGGCGTAGTCCGCTGACTCATGTTCTGATGATCACATAAAAAGAAATAAATTTGCAGGGATCCACTCTCTGGGGAGTGGATTTGTTGATCAATCAAGTTTATGTGTTACTTCAGATGATGCTGGGAGAACATATGGAGATACTCGTGAACAAGGAAACTTTTAGTCTTGTATCTTCATTGTTTTTGCAAATGCGGGCTTTGTCGGAGCAAGCTCATGAACATCATTTTCATGTGCAGTGTGCTACTGAGACAGCTCTGATGTTTTTCAGCCAGAGACCCAAAAGATTGTGAAACAAATTATTCAGCATTTTAACTGTTGCAAACCTCATCAAGACTACACGTCCGAGCATACCTGATCTGCAATTTCATGCTGGCAAAAGAACGCCAACGGTGAATTACAACAGGGAGTTTGATGATGTGAAAACGAGGAAAAGCTCCGAGTTGTTTGAAAGCGTAGTTTAGAAGTTAGCTTAACATTCACGGTTGTCGAGGTATTGTGAGTTACGTGGCTGGTTGGTCGATCGCGACCAGGAGTTGTGAAAGGTAATGAAGGCGCTTGGCTCGTGATGGCGACTCTTGTTTCTCTGCAGCTTCTGCGCTTTTCTGGCGTGGAGGACTATCATGCTAGTCCTTGTTCCGTCTCTGTAAGTACACGGTTCTGGACAGCTCTGTGAGAATGTGAAATGTCTTTATGCCAGAGTTTTATCAACGTCTGGGTCATAAGATTAAGTGTTTAACGTTGGCATTGTAGTAGTTGAAGCACTGTTTCGTGGGTGCTGCACAAGAATTGAAATCTTGACATTTTTGTGATAGGCATGCCTGAAAACGGCATTCAGCAGTCGTCTTTTTCAGGGATCTGGTTTAAGGATAGCGTCTCGCCCCGGGGTAATTTCTGTACGAACGTTGATTGAAACAGTAACATACTGCGATGCCATCCTGGAATTCATCTGTCTGCTATTGCCCTTTATTGTGATGCACATGCACTAAGCAAGGCAGCTTGCTTTCGAACCCATCGTTAACCTCTGGATATCGTGGCCACAGGCGGGCAGCCTTCTTGGAGGAGGGGCATTGTGTTGTCCGTTATGGAGTCATCTTTCAATGTCGAACAGCAGCTTGCGTGTGCGAGCTGCGCGTTTGCCAGTTACGGCATCTCTTATTCGGCCTATTCCTACTGAGGACATCAACCACATAGCTGTGATGTTTGTCAATTATGGTGCTCAGCTTCTCAAAAGGTGTCAGTTCTCTCATCTCTACAGTTCGTAATCAGTCGTTCGACTGTCTTGGGTCTTTGTGTTGCCATTGTAACAGCTCTATTATCAAGTTATGTGACCCATGTATTCCTTGATGGCTACATTCTGATAACCGTTATTCTTGTAATATGACATTTTAAAGAAGATATAAGAGTATATGTGTATTGGTTGTACTTTGGGGTCCTGCAAATGATGTTCCAAGTGTCGGAGTGAAGCTCTACAATAGACGTGGAAACTGAGTCATACAAATTTAAAATCCAAGTAAAAGTTTGCGCAGCTTAGTTTTGAATGTGAGTGCCCATTCAGTTTCTTCTCTTGCTATTGTTTTAGCAAGTATCTAGGCACGACATTGTTTAAAGGATTGGACTTGAATGTAGTTTTGTGCACTCAATGGCCATTTCATGATTGTATTTGCAATGTTAGTGGGAGGTGATATGACACTATAAGATCCAGTTTGTTTCATCACAGGCCTAATTTTGTAATGACTTTGTTTGCAAACATTGTGATTAAGTTGGAAACTTAGACACTCATTGCTCTTTATCCATGATGTAGAGCATTTGATCCAGTAGTCTTGGGCACAGAGGCGAGCCAAGCAATCAAACAGCGTTTTGTCAACTTTATTCGTTCACTTTCAACCGTCTTGGCTTTCGCCTTCTGTACTGCCAGGTAGAGATATCTCATCGAGTAATCCTTGTTCATAACCTTCAATCACTTTGATAGGGTGTTATGGTGAGCTCTTCTGATTCATATGGGCTTGTTTGTTGCAGTCTGACACAGCAGGTACAGAGGTTCATGATGGAGAATCATGATGCAGAAGAGTCTCGAAATGTAAGCATCTCCATTTCCTATTTTAGGAATATTTTCATGTTACTTTTTTCATTTGGTCTTCTTCTTTATTTTAATGCTATGTGTTTTCAAATCTTCCGATAAAGGAAAGGCACGATTGCATACACGAACGATTATCTCCTTCGTAGAACTTGCGGATGGTATATAAGAAGTTTTGGGGTTTTTTTACTAATTTCAGCTCATGTTATCTGTAGGTCGGTGTACAATTCATTGGCAACACCGTATACACTTCTGTTTGGGTAGCTGCAGTATGCTTATTTATGGAGTTGTTGGGGTTCTCGACGCAAAAATGGATTACCGCCGGAGGATTCGGAACTGTTCTTATCACGCTTGCTGGTCGAGAGGTAATTCTCTTCAACATTTATCACTATTTGTTGTAGGAGAGCATGTTCCTATGGACTGGAATTGAAGCGAATAAAAGATGGAACTTTGTGTTTTTAGATATCTAATGGACATGTAGTTTGAAGTGCCTAGACTAGCAATTATCGTAGATCATTGTGAACATACTGTCATGCAGTAGAAGTTGATCGGATTCAGCCTTTTTAAAAAGTTTGCCAAGACGTGATATACTTTCCTTCAGAATTCAAAGTTCCTAGCTCTTTGGTATATGAATTTTGAATCGTAATGTTGAGGTCTGAGTGACCTTTAGGGATCACACTTAAATGATTGTTTATTGGAAGGTGCAGAAAATCACTGAGACATTTTGTGTATTGCAGATATTCACCAACTTTCTGTCTAGTATCATGATACATGCAACTAGACCATTTGTCGAAAATGAATGGATACAGACGAAGATCGAAGGTCAAGAGGTGTCTGGTACCGTTGAGGTGATTTCATATCATACAATTCTCTTAATATTAAGTTTGTGTTGAAGTTTGAGAACTTATTTGTCAAGTGCTGAAAGAAGGAATCTACTTACATATGGTTATTTTATTCCATGATATTCGCAAGTTTCGAACTATATTGATGATCAGACACCAATAGTGAAATATTTATTTCGATTTACTTAAAATTGATTTTAAATCTACACAGCATGTCGGATGGTGGTCTCCAACTGTGATTCGAGGAGATGATCGTGAAGCTGTTCACATTCCAAATCACAAGTTTAGTGTGAGCGTAGTTCGTAACTTGAGTCAAAAGAGTCACTGGCGTATCAAAACACATCTGGGAATTAGACATCTTGACGTCGGCAAAATGACAGTAAGTCGAAGATTCATACTTATTTTAGTTATACAATTGTTACTGTATTTTAGCTTCTAGAGTGCCTCCCTGTTTGACTGGTCACAAAACTTACTACAGAGTGAATTCATCATGATTTATCCGAATGCTTTATGAGAGTACGGGATTTGTTTGGCAGCTCATTGTGGCCGACATGCGGAAAGTGCTGGCAAAGCATCCTCAAGTTGAACAGCACCGACTGCATCGCCGTGTCTTTTTTGACCAAATCGATCCAGAGAACCAAGCTTTGTTGGTTAGTGCTCAATATTTTCTAAAATTAAAATTTCCAAATTGACTTACGTTATTTCACTTAACCAGTTAATATTACATAGAACTCACAATGTAAATACCACATGTGCAGATCTTGGTGTCATGCTTCGTAAAGACTTCTCATATCGAAGAATACCTGCGAGTTAAGGTTGGTGGTGCATCTACCTTTTTTTTTTTAGAATGCTACTGTGGTTGTGGAAAGGCACTTCTCTTATACTCTATACTGGACCCTTCTTTGCCAAATACAGTCTAAGATGTTGTTATACTACCTCAAATATAATGACATTTATCAATCATTGACCATTTTATGTTCTTCATATGTAATAGCTATTCACTTTCATGGTGCATGACACCGTGGCTCTTGCAGGAGTTGATACTCTTGGATTTGTTAAAAGTTGTGAGTCATCACAGTGCACGACTAGCAACTCCAATCCGTTCTGTGCAACGTGTTGTTGATGAAAATGAGGCAAAAAGCTCTCCATTCCGTGACATGCGGAATGTCAATCAAAATCAACAGCGGTCTTTGCTGCTTTTGAATCCTCAACCTGCGTCAAGTGACGACGAGGAAGAATATAGCTCAGATACTGTTTCAGGTGACATATCACGTCTCGCACAGGTTGTCAGAGCCACTAAATCAGCGCGAACCAACGTTTTTGAAGATAGTGAAAGTGAAATCGATGAATCAGTGGAGGAGCAAACCAATCCAGAATCTCCCAGCGATATCAAGGAATCGAAGAAAAACGCAGGTACAGCTGATAGAAATGTTAGAGTTAGATCACTGCAGAGACCAGTTATAGTACAACAGAACGCAAAAGAATCAAGTCGTGAAGGGAGTCTTCACCAGGTGTCAGTCTTGACAGGAGACGCCGGGCCCAATGGACATGCGATTCTTAGAGACAGAACTCATGCAGAAACTGAAGCAAAGTTGGTTAGGTCCCATTTAGACACAAGTTTACCACAGAAGCAGAGTGAAAACGGAATGACCAATACAGAACATCCAGTTGCTGTGACTCCTGTTCTAGCAAGTGAGCTTCTTGTGGAGATGTCCGAGGAGAATGTGCCACATTTGTACTCCAACAACGTTGGTCTTGACTATGTGAGCGATGAAGGTGTTGAGACTGCATCGCTAGGAGGGACTGATGATCAAGTGAGTGACGCTGAAACTACGGCTCCCTCTGTGAAGATTGATATCAATGTTCGCAGTGACCTGACTGATGAAATTCTGGGAACTGCGTCCGTAACGAGTACCTATAACCATCAGGAGCAATCACTAAGCCTTAAAGTGAATAGAACACACGGAGGTGTTCGCGTAGCAAGCACAGATGGTCCATTGGGACAGCCACATATTTCACAAATAGATGAAAACGAAAATCAAAGTAGCGCAGATCTTGGTAGAACTCCACCAGAAAGCTCAGATAACTCGTGGAGGCAGCCATCAACTACGCAAGTTAAGGCGGGTGCTGCAAGTTCATCACCCACAAAGAACGACAATTTGTGGAAACAGCCGTCAGCCACAGATGCGCAGATGACCCAGAAGATAAAACATGGTCGCCCGACAGTGGATCCAGATCTAGTGCCTGGGGTGGCCATAGATGGCCCAAAACATACCCTTTCTTTTGATGAAGACATTATAATCTTGGATGATTCACGAGGACTGGTGGCTTTGGGAAAACATAACAGTAATGAACGACGAAATAGTTCCAGCCATGGTGCTGTGAATAGGGAAGGGTCAAGTGACATACGGGACAGGGAGAGGTAACAAGCAACGATTTCTCCATTCTTCTAATTTGTCCTATACGAAGACCTCATTTCAACTATCGGCGCTTTGTTGCAAGGCCATACTGATTTAGCTTGACTTTCTGTCAAATCCCCTAGTAGATATTTAGTTTCTGGAGGCTAGCACTTAAATAGCACAACATTGCTATCACATCACGTCACAAAATTGTATCATTCTAAATATTTAAGCATGTTAATTGTTTGGGAGCCACAGGACTTCCGAATTCAAGCACATTGATTACAATTGCAATGTATTCTCATCTAATTTTATGACTCAATTGCGACGTGTACTCAAATACAATGTTGAGCTTTTTAGGTGTGTTTTGCTCTTTTAACTGCTGTGGTTTAAGTAGGTCCATGTTTGTACTACAAACTGCTAACAACAGGGCATACTTTACTCAACCTAGCGAACTCAAATCTATTATTTTGAGCTCCTGAATCTCTATCAACCTTATCCACTGTATACTTCAATGTTTGTGGGACCAACTTAGAAGATAACAATCTCACAGCTCAGACAACACAAACCCCAGTGCTCAAGACCTTTGATATGGGTGGAGCAACCCTTAACATAGTTGATATGTAACCGAGTTGCAATTCATCTACCTCACCAAATCACATGCGTGTCCTGCGATGACAAAGCATCTGTATATGATGTACTAGCCAAACAGTAACCAGGGCGTGTTTCTGCTTCAGCAACCCAAACGGTGCCGCAATGTCATTCACTTGTCCTTGGTGGGTTCCTCTATTTATTAGGGCTCATGCAAGAGCCTTCGAAGTTACATCGTGAGGTGCCCTTTCAGTTAAGGAGGCTATCCACAGTGTCGGGTTAACTCCACGAAATGTTATTTGCTGCTTTTGTCAGGCACCATGGGAATCTGAGAGATTGGAAAACCGGTGTACATGTGTTGTAAGAGGCAACATGAAACTACTAAAGTATTTCGCATTGCTCGCAAGGGCATCTGCATCTCGTCAACCTAAAACCTGACACGCTCATGTGGAGCTCATATGTTTGTCAGGGGCTTGTCACTGACCCACAACTTTTCAATTCTGCCTACCTGCGCCTACTTAATGCTCGACGTTAGAATATACGATCAACGTCGCCGATCACAATGGAGGTCTAATGCATCTCGGGATGTGACTAATGAGAAAAAATAACCCCAGTTTCTAGTACCGAAATGCTGCCATTCTGAAAGAGTTCTTCCATGTGTTCAATGATTCTTTAGGCAAGACTTCGAGAGGATTATGGAAAAGGAGATGAAAAGCGTTTCGCCAAGCAAGAGAGTTTGTGAATGGTCAATAAGATATCTTTAGAATTGTGATCCTTCAGTAACTTTCTCCTCAAAGAATTGTATCTGACTCTGGACCCATGTGCCTGAGTTCACGATTTATTGACGCGGCCACCTTCAAATTGAACTTCCCTCACTTATTGTAAACCAAATATATTATTACTAATTTTGAAGATACTATCATTGCCGAGAATCGCACGTGCCGATATGCAAGCACCGATCGAGCGGAACCCCGAAAGCAAACATGCAGACAAATAGTATATACTATTTTAATCTGTGCTAGGGTATAGCATATGTGTGCCCTACAAACAGGGCAATGTATTCCTAGGGAAAAGGAGAAGATGGTGAAGCCCTAGACGACCTAGAAGTTGTGTCGAAGTCTCCGCTATTGTCGCTGAGGCACCGACTACGACAATTTCACCAGTTTCTACGCACTGTTATGGGCAGGTTCGCATGGAAAACATGTTCTCACATGAAGATTATCGAGATGCGGTGAGCGAATCATCAGCTCATGAAGTGAGTGTTTTGTGATGTCTTGATTTACAACTCTCTACTCTATTTCGCAATTGTCCCTAACAGATGCACCCTTTACGTAGTGATCGGTAAAGTAGTCAGCGAAGCAACAAAGTACTTATAGCCACTTTCTAGAGCAGGATAATCTGCTTCAATACTAACAGTAGGATCACATCAAGCCTTTCAACAACGTCGACGTTAGGCATTCACCTTCCGTTTCCGATTACGTCTGTAGAACAATTGTGGCAATGGAGCGTTTCACAATAAGTCTTAGTTGATGCTGTGAAGTGCAGCATTTGGTGCAGTTTTCATGCATCACTGTTGTCTTCCATCAAAAACGAAACAACGTCGACATGCTGGAGCAGGAGAAGAACTTCGACAGTATTTCCCGATAAGTTCATTTTCTACAGAAGTTACGTAATCCGGTGACTATCATTTGGTTCTGCTTGCGATGCTGCTGGAGACGGCTGTAACAATTATTGGGTATCCGTTCAAGCCTGACGTTTTCGGATGCATGATGTTCAACATCCTTTCTAGTTATGGAGAGCAATTGACTGCGACTCATACATAAGTTATGTTCTCTCAGATCTTTAGTCTCCCACACTGCTCTCAGGTATACAGATTCATGTTGCTGGTTAAATGTTTGTTGAACGAGTGCTTTGCTCATCAAATGCTTCCTCCAGCTCTTGCAAAATTCCTGCTGCTCAATACGTTGACCTTGCTAAATTTCTGTCCGTCCAAGTCGTCCATCTTTCAACTCCCATCCCCGGCACACGAATTGGGAGTCAAAGCTGCAGATGCAATAAAGGCATCAGGTGTACTTCTTCACTCCTGTCAAATTCTAGAATCGTGAAGCAGAAGAAATATGGAATGCTGAGTCTGTGAAAATTGGAAGGAATTTAACGGGTCTTGATCACTGACGGCCATGAAAATTGTGTGTCGTATAACTGAAATGCAATGGATTTCCGTATGATAGGTCTCCAGGTAGCGTGGTTTTACAGTATTGTCAGAATCCAGTGTCAGTCCGTTCCTATGGACATGGACACAGGCTTCTGAAATACGGTGGATGCAAACCAGGACACAGAAACTCGAATGTGGGTGAAATCTCGTCAGCCACCAGAATTTATGGTGGATTTTCAAGTGACATCACTAAATGATGATGCGCTATAGAGCATCTTTCATCATCTGTTTCATCTCCTTTACACGAAAAAGTTTTAGAAGTCAATCGGTTTGGGGTCTTCTTTGTGCTCACTTGTTGCTTGTAATCTTAATGTGCAGTACCGTGAAAGAAGGTCCCTGCATAAATGACGTGTTCATTGTGTGCATTGGTTCTGGGATGGGACATCTCATGAGCTTGAAGTACAACTCTGCTGCAACTATGGTGTTACTTGTGTACCAATCAATCGTCGTGGAGCACGATGATGAACAAGAGATTGCGGTATATCCAGGAGCCTTACTCTGCATTTAGTTGCCCTTTCAGGAGGCCTCTATACGTCGACTTGGAGACGCTCCTGTACCCTTGCATTGCTTTTTGCAGGGAGCTGCTGTATGTTTGATTTGGTGAGCTGGCTCCACCGCATGATATTGCTGTAAATTTCCTTTCTGGATTGTCATGTCCCAATGGGCTATCATTCTAAGGTCTTCGTTATAGGAACGATGGGATTTCCATCGTATAATCTAATGAGCTTAGAAGTATATCGTACCTCCCTCAATGTATCGTTTGACTGAGCTATATGCGTATCTCAGTCCTCTTCATTCAATTTGTGCTTTCAAGACAAGGAGATTAGACTGTTTAATACTCATGATCTCAAATGTCCTCTGCAGCTGGGTTCAGCAGCCACGCTATCAGGCTTTCCCGGAAGTACTACTGCATCTCATCAACAATGTCGTGAAGCGTATTTGAAAGCACTTATACGACCTTCTACATTTGTGACCGCAAAAAAGTTGGAATGACTCACATCAGTTATAGCGTCGCATCATTTTCGATCATGAGGGTGCTCACACGCTGCAGAGAGGGAGCGCTGTACAAGAACATACAGGTAGACCTCGTAACTAAATTGTAGCTACCTGACTGAAAGCCTTTCAACCAACTGTGCATAGTTAATCTGGTATCCTGCGAAACCCGACAAAATCTGGCAACCAGGTACAATATATGGACCTGGTTCATTTGCACAAAACCACGAATGCTTTTACGTTTTGATCTGTAAAAAGTTTAACTTCAACTCATGCTTGGCTGCACCAGACCACCAAAGCTACACCGTGGAGGCTATTTCTTAACTCTTATGTGTTAAAAAGTAGAACGGTTCGGTTTCAGGTTGTCAGATTTCTACGAACTCAAACACATGAGTCACTAACGCTCATGTTCAGGTTACACAAGGAAACGTTAGACATGCTTTTTGCTGAGATTCTGTGTTACTCTCTGGGTGATCAGGAAAGCTGGCAGCTTCGACGATGTGCGCATCAGGTATCACCCAGCACAGTTACTGTGATGTGCACGTCCTCTTCATGGGTGTTATTCTCCTGCGCTGCGCTGCCCTGCTCAGTGGTCTCCTTTCAACCTTTACTCATTAAAGCTACCAATCCATTTGAAGTATAGCCAGCAGCTTGTGACGCAGACAATAGGAAAACTGAGCCCTGTCCTAGAAATGGAATTGACATCTTGAATTTGAGTCGCAGTGTTGTGGGTACTCGCCCATGTTGTGTAACTTGCAAGACAAACTGTTTGTACCATCGAAGCAGAAGATAACGAAGTTTCAGATTCATCCCATTTCCATGATTGTACAGATGGAAAGGGTAGCATCAAACAACGTCACCAACACAATACCTAGTCAACACTCAGGTTTTTACTTCATTTTTACTCCTGACGCAGCTTTCGGTCCACATTGCTCAGCACCAGCACCTGTTCATCAGCTGAAGCTCATCTGGACGAGTTCCGGGGTCCTCATACTCAGAAGCCACTCAGCGAAACGACATAGTTTTTCTTATTCCGGTGGTGGCCTGACAAGATCTTCATTGATCTCTGGATAACAGTGCACAGTTATATGCAAACATTGCTGAATTTCATTAGTCTACATGCGCTCCTCAGTGACCAGGTAAGGCCTACGATTGAAGTTGAGAAGTTTGGTCGGTTCTCGCAATTAAAAACACATTCAATAGTCATAACATGAATACTCAGTCATACCATTATTAGTAACTTTTAAGATTGCCACAATTAGATGCTTGAAATTCTAGAAAAGAAAAAGTTGGACACTTCCTAATTTACACCAGCAGCAACAAGATACCAGCATCTTTCTCCAACAAGAAGGTACACAGGAATACAGACCCACCGACGAGGCGGATTAGGATAACAGGGGAAAGGAAAGTGGGTCAAAAATAGACGTTAGACTAATGACAGCTTGGCCCACTCTCTATATTTCGGTTTGCCACCTCCTTTCCATTTTGTTTCTATTGGGTCATGTTTCCTATTTTATTGTTACCTCCCTCTCACTTAATCATTTCCACTTTCGTGAAGGATTACAAATAGAATGCCAGTTTCGTTTACACTTAATCAATCAACCCACATTTTCCTGATCTCTTGGTTATTGGCAAACATGAATTTTTCTGCTATAACCAGGACTTGTCTGGATTTTCCCGTGAATCTCGAACGTTCAAGATTGCGAAATCTTCCTATTGTCTGCTTACTGATCATAGGGTTTATCAAGCAGGATAAAAAGATGTTTAAAAATAGCACTTATATTCCACCTGTTCGTCTCATTAACTAGATTCTGATCTCATGGCTTGTTTTTTCAGAGTAGACTTTAAGCTCCATAAATCCTTGTTGATTCGTGGAAACTTACAGATAAATCTATATCTCATCTGCTCTTGATACACCCCGCCACATATGTCAATAGGAAATCTGGATTTTGCATGTTTGCTAATTATACACTCAACTGTGCTTTAATGTTAGTCGTTCAATAAATACATCGAACCTTAGCTAACCAAGCATATTATCAAATCCTTTGCGACCTATCCCCAACCAGGTTCTTGGAGAATGCATATACATATTTACTGGCATTTTCAGTTGTCGGTTTAATGATACTTCATTTAACGGATATGATATGATTTGATGTTTTATGTTTATTTTTCCTGCTTTTCTAATCAAGCAACTAATTTCCTGTTGTGAGGATTTCAGCGAACTTGCATATCTTCATTGATACATATCACGCAAATGAATTGGTCATATAAATACTTGCAAAGTAGTAGACAAGGGTTAGTTGGGTTTTTGATGAGTAAATCTTTTGTGTTGACTTTTATAACCACCAACTTTCATGAGATATATATATATATATATATACATACTGTCAGAATGGGTCCCCAACCAATGGGACAGATTTTGAAGCATCTGTGTATCCTTTGCCCTCCTTTCACTAGATTGAGTGGATGTGGAGCCAGGGAAGCTCAATGGTCTCCACCTGAGCAGGTGGCCAATATGACCAGCAAATACTTAAACTCACTAAAAAACCAATCTCTTCATTATTGTTGTAAAATACTATATTAAGAGGAGGAAGGGTGGGGAGGATAGACTGCAAGAGTATAAAATACATTGAAATTTCCCTTAACACTCCATATTTATGCATTTAAATATGCTTTGCATTATTTTATTTTATTTTATTTGATATTCTTTTGCTTATCCATATATTCATGTATTTGTCCATTGACCTTCCCATCAAAACCCTCAAAAGGGGCAACTTCTGCTTTCCTATCAATCAAGTCATGAGATGATTCTACAACATTTGGCAGAGTTTTCTTCCTCCATGTTCACTGCTATAGTAACACTTGAATCATGAAAGCTGTGCAGTCACAAATCAAAACCATAACTTAATAAATATAATAGTTATAAAATAAATATTCTACAAAACTTGGATTTCTTCAAGGGGGGGGGGACTTTGGGCACATGATAAGTCATGTGGCTATTGTGCCTGATCCCTTAGCACCTGTATACTCTAGTTTTATACATTGCAGTAATCCAGGGTTTTCATTTTCAATTGGGCTCAGGCTTTAGCAAATTGCTTGTTCCTTTGTGCCAGATACCTTGAAAAACAACCCAAGGAAACACAATAACCTTAATTTATGTAATAAACAATGGGGCACTGGCACTAGCTGGTTTTGAACCTTTGGTGCTCTTTCCCCCCATGAGACCAAGTTGGTTCTACTTCCAGCACTTAGGGCTTGGATTTTGTATTTTGATGGTCTATAAGGGAATGAAATCTTGACTTTAGAACTTGAGAAGGATATATATATATATATATATATATAGAAAATCTTTGATTAAAGATGAGTTTTGAAATGAGTTTTTTGGACATCCAAAAAAAATGTATTTCCAAATTAAGAAGAGTTGGTTTAGGAAAAATCTCTATATGAAAAAAGCTTCCAAAATTATCAATGTATGTATGTCTCTATTTATATGTACACACATACTATTATTAGTTTTGATAAACAAAGAACTCTTCAGGCATTAGTTATAGAAGAATGCAAAGTTTTTTTTTTTTTTTTTTTTTTAATATTCAACTCATAATGGTACAACCATCTATTAAAATTCTAGTTGTTAGCTGGTCTAAGATAATCTTGTAACCTTCTCTCCTTCTCTTTTTATTTTTATTTTAAAATTTACTCCTCCTTCTTTCTGTCCATTTTTTTTCTTTGGTATTTATAAGTGTTTCAATTATTTTATTCTACTTTTTCAAGCTTTTCAATATTGTTGGTTTTCAAGCTTTGAACCAGAAATCAATACCATCAAATATTTGTGTGCAAATTAAAAATAATAAAAAAAGGCACAAACACTCTTCAGAACATTAAATGTTTTTGCAGTCTGTGTGAATTCTAGGTTTTCTATGGCCTGGTCCCCTAGTAAATTAATAAACATTTTGCAGGGTTGGCAAGTGATGTGATTATGGTGAGGACATATTAAAAATAAAATTTAACAACAACAACAACAACAATAATAATAACAAAAACTTGGGATCTCTTCCTAAATGATGTTCACCACCCTGTACCCATAAGAACCATCAGATGTTCCCTAAGTCTTCAAAAATAAATGTATTAAAAAAATTGGGACCTTGCTAGACTTCTCTGTCAATTGATAATCTGGTGCAGGTATCCTAAATAACCACCCAGGTTTAAAATTAAAATAAAAACATTTTAAAATAATATAAAAATGTTAGAAATGGAAGTTGTAAATAATACTTTAATTACTCCACTAAATTAAGTTATTTTAAAATTCTTATACCATGAACCAACAGTGTTGGACACAGCAGCACTGATGTGCCCACAGTAGTTATTCCCAGGCTATGACTATTGGGAACTGTCTGGTTGTATTACAATACCATACAATACAAAGGAGTTGATGACTTATCTTCACAAACTCATTTGCTTATCATTTGTCATTAATAATGTAGAGGCTGTATGTTCATGAATGATTGATTGGCCCATCACCTAGAAATGGTTTGTTTGCTTGCTTGCTTATTATTTTTATTATTATTACACTCTACAAGCACAACCATCTTATTGTGTTTCTTTTATATTGTGTTGGTTCAACAGAGCATTTTTGGGGCACATCATTATTATATTTTAATTTGTTCTTCCAAGCCAAAGTGGTTTTGTTTGATTGACACACACTCTCTCGCCCACACACTCACACACACACACACACACATATATATATATATATATATTAATACCATCATCAGATTTTAATAACTGTTTTTTTACAATTGCACATTTCCATGAACAAGTAGATTTTGAGTTACATAGGTGTATCTCAAAATTTTAGTTGTTATGAAAATAGAAATGATTTAATGAAATTCATTAGCGAGTTACATGGCATTGGATTTTAAAACATTACTTTAATTTTCTTGATGTTTTTGTAAATTGCGTAAAACAATCCAGAGCCTGAATGTTTATATAACTACCACTGTAAGCAATGAAGCAGACACAGAAATAGATCCTATAACTTAAAGGCTAAAAAGTAAATTCAAAAAAATAAATTGGAGAGATATATTTTTGTTATTATATGTGAAATTTCTCAAACTTTTTTTAATCAATTTTTTAAAAGTTTGATCTAAAGATTTTATGATTGTGAAATTATTTGCTGGAGTACTGAATTTATTTGTGCAGATTTAAGTAGATTGTAACCATGAGAACACATTCATTTGATTGCTTGATGTATAAAGAGTGAGTGACATAGATATTTTATAATATGTGTATTTAAACTCACACACACACACACACACACATATATATATATATATATATATACACGCACATTTACTTGTTGCCATAATTCTTTTGAGAATTTTGTTGGGTTTATTCAATGGTTTTTTAAAGGTGTAAGTTGTACTTTTCCCAGAAAGAGTATGACATTGTCAATTTAATTGTTTACAATAAAAACTCATTCAAAATAAATCTTTTGATATTTATTTTTATCCACCTCAAGATTCATGTTAAATTATTTAAAGGAATCATTTACATAGTTAAAAAAGGAGTCAATTACAGAAAAATCCAAATTAATAAAACGTTTACACAAATATCAAACTGAAAAAAATTAAAATATTTTGACACCAATTTTTTCTTTGTTTTAGTAGTAGTAGTAGTAGTATATATATATATATATATATATATATATCATTTCTTCTTAATTTTACAGTTTTATTTGATGATGTTACAACTTTTGAAATTCTAATTGAAATCTACATACTATATGTCATAATTATTTGGTATGTCATAATTATTTGGTTTGGTTCGGTTTTTTTTCTTTTTTTCTTTTTTTATGAGATAATTTATTTTTCTTGATTAGTGTTATATTGTTAAACTATGGTGTTTCTCCTGTCACAAATATGGAATTTTTAAAAATTTAAGTATCATTATGTATGTTGATAGTGACAATGTGGCTCTTGGCAATGTTCTTGGTTCTTAAACTCATACTGTTTTTGATAAAGCCTAGAAAACAATTCGTGAATACTGTATAAAGTTTTTCATTTTTTTGAGTTGGATAATTTGGTGCAGAAAGCTAAAAATTCAGTCCTTGAAAATAATGTTTCTTATATTTTGTTCCTTTCATATTTCTATGAGCATCTTAATTAAAATGGCATTTGTTGCACAATAATTGCAAGTATACATTCCATTGAATATTTCTTTACTTCAAGGTTTGAGATTTATGTTTGAAGATTTCATTTGTTTAATGAATTATTCATACATTTCATCTCAAAAATGCAAGGGTAAATTAATCATACCAAAGTGTGATTGCATAACAGTAAAATATTTATTTGAAATCATCAAAGCATTCAGTAATGTGATGAGTTGTTCAAGAGAGTCAAAAAGGTATTAGAAGTGTGCCAAAGCACACAAGTATTATTGATATATGTATATATGTATATGTGTGTGTGTGTGTGTGCATTGTATATTATTGGGGTTCAAAGTAGTGTTTTCTTTTCTATCTGTTGTTGGGGAGCAGATGCAACAACTATGTCTACCACCACCACAATGACATAGACACTAATAAGACCCCCCCTCACAAGGCAAAATACTAATGAGGAGCCAGCCTGGATGGATCAAAGGGGAGAGAGGTGGCCAGGCTCATTGAGGCTTTTGATATACAGCTTTAAAGAGAGAGAGAGAGAAGCAGAATTAGACAACATTCATGCACTTTTGTGCTGTGCTCTACTTGAATCTTGTGCTCTAAATGGGGGTGATATAAGAGATTGGATGTGAAAATGAGAGGGAAGGGGTTGGAAAATGAACAGAGGCAAGGGATGGTGGTGATGCTGATAATAGTTATGGTAGCAGAGGTAAAAATATAAATAGAAAACAAACAATAAATCTAATAACACCAGTGAAAACATCAGAAACATTAGAACAGGAAGATGATGCTAGTAGTTTTTTATTTTTATTTTATGAAGAAGCTGTTAAAAAGAAAAGAAAAGAAAAGAGGTTTAACATGAACATAATTTACTTGTGGAGTTGTTGTGGGTGTTGTTGACAATATTGGACAATCACAAGATGTAAATATCTCTCATGCTGCTTCAACTACAACTACTAACTTACTATTTGTGAAAAGCCTGAATCACATCCTGTTGTTGTTCTTCTGCTTTGCTTTGCCTTGCTGCTGCTGCTGCTTCTGCTACTCCTTATGACAACCACACAGCTGCCCACAGCTGGGGCAGAGGCACAGTTGTTGATGTTGCTGCCATGCCACTAGTGGACCCAACTTCCCTTCCAAGCCAGAGGGCAAGAAAGAATGCAAGTCCACTGAGCCCCCCCCCCCCCCCCCCGGGTTGGTTGGTTGGTTAGCTGCTTATTTATTTTCATAGATATATCTTCCAAACAAGACATTCAACTCAAATGGCAGTCTTTGAACTAAACAAACAAAACAACACACACAGCAGAATCTTGTCTGGGGCTGACTGACACACACTCATTCACACACACATGCACAGGGGGAGAGGGAGAGGGAGAGAGAGAGAGATGGGTTTTAGTTTGTGTGTGTGTGTGTGGGTTTTGTGACAGAAAGTTGTTGTCTACTGTGGGCTTTGTGTTTGTTTTCCTCCAAGGGAGTGTCCCCCCCCCCCTTTGCAGTTTGAACACTCCCCCATTCCAAGCCTGAGGTTGAGCTCTGCTCTGCTCCCCTCACCCACCAAGTAAGTCAATACCCAAGGAGGAGAAAAAGATGCAAAAGGAGGGGGCAGTGGGGGTGGGGCAGTGGGGGTGGGGCAGACCAGGGTGGTGAACAGGTGGGGCTTGAGTGTGTGCATGTGAATGTGTGTTGATCCTTCCTTCCTACCTTCCTTCCTTTGCCTTTGTGTGCAGTGGAGAGGAGGCCGTACATGACCCCATTTGGGTAGACTGCTAGGAAAGGTATTTGCAATTGGTGCTCTGAAGTTGACTTATGTCAGTATACTGAGAACGTCACCTCAGCACCTTCTCCCCCGCCCCCATCTCCCCCTCAGTGTTTCATTTCATTAGGAATCCACCCAAGCATGACTTTAGTGAAAACCTCACCTTCTCCTATGGGGAGTGAGAGAGAGACAGAGACAGAGAGAGATAGCAAGGTAAACACAAAATGGGTGGATAGGTGGATCAATGAATGAATAGGTGGATTGATAAATGGGATGGAATAGCAATAATGCAGGGGGTGTTGCAGGGGAATAATGATGCTAGGGATGGCTACCCCCACCCCATTTACTGGTCCATTAGCTGATCATCATCCACATGATGCTGCACAGAGAATAGAACAGGCAATGAGGAGAATAGCAGCAGAGTAAAGAGAGTGTAAATACAGAGAGTAGAGATAGAGAGTGTCTGCCTCTGTGTCTGTTGCCCAGCCATGCTCTGGAGGAGAATCAATCAATGACCCATTTTAGCCAGATCCATTGTGGACACTCCCATTTTGTCAAAACCACACAGACCCCCCCCCCCACACACAGCTAACTTGCTATTCATGCCAGCTATAACCCCCTCCTCCCCATCTTCCTCTTCTATCTATCTATCTATATATCAATAATTTGCAAGGACACACATGCTGAGGTGAAGGCCACAGACTCATTTTCTCATTGTCTTTTGATCTGCTGTACTAGGGGGCCACTTGACGTACAAGGATATCTATGCCTCAATGCTGCAAAAATTTATTATTGTGACCTTTCTCTGGATGGAAGGAAGGAAATCTCCATGCATGGGATTCAAACAAGTTGCCACAATTACACTACCAAAAGAATTATTTGACTGTTGGGCTATAAATGCAATGGGTTATCATGCAGCCCTTGTTTGTTGTGTAGACAATCTCAATTATTTCTACTGATCTACCACATTGTTTACAAAAATAATGGTAGCTTCAAAGATTTCACATTCTAATATGAGCCCATCTCATCAGTTATGCATACCTTTCATTGAAGCCTTACCTTCTCTTCATTGGCTTGGTCATACAAAGCAATAGGTCTATTACAGGCTTGGTTTTCATTTAGGGAAATATTTGACATTTCATATGTATATATACATATATATATATATATATATAGAATTGGAGCCAATTACTAGTGTGAAGGTAGTTATAAGTTGCACAAGCTGCTCCCTAGTCTTGGTCTGCTTCCATTCTAGCCTCTGCTCTCAATGCTGATGGCAGTTCAGGCAGCCAAAACAGGCACTCAATGCTTGAAGCCATGGTGCTAAAACAGGCTGCTCATGTGCTTCAGCACAGTGGCTTTGTCATTTTGTATGTAAAAAATTTATGTTTTGCCAGGTGATCAAATCCTGTCAGAAAATGCAATGAAATCTTTCAACCCAAAACCACCAGCTGCTTGCAAGTCTAAATTTTGTTGGTGGCCATGCTGGGCCCCGTGCTCCGTACACCAAAAAGCCCAAAGAAACTGAGATGAAACTTAACAACCAAATGTGCACAACAATGAGGGCTGTGGTCAACCCAAAACTGGCATTGCATATCAGAAGAAGAAGAAGGAAGACAGCATTGCCAAAATAGTATCCAGTATCTGATATTGTATGATGCTAGATGTGTGTTTGTGTTTGAGGCTGATGAATAGTCAAAATGGTGGAGTTTGCTAGAGGATCTGGCCTGTAAAGGCTTTGGATCCAGGATTTAGTGCTCTGATTCCTGAGGCATATGTTTAAATCTATCCATTACTGTGGACACAGCTTCATAGGATTCTAACAAACTCACTCCTGTTTTTATGTAAAGAAACTGCAAGTGTCTCTCTGAAACCCAGTGCCAGGTCTAAGCACTGTGATGCTTTTAAAGGGTTACTGAATAGGGGAACTTGAACAGTGGAACAATGTGAAGAAGTGGATACTGACAGATGGGTTTATGCTTTCTTAATATTGTATCCCAAGTACTCATGACAAAGCTCATTTAAAATTAAATAAATATTCAAAAAGCTTCAAATTGATCCAGGCCAGTCAATTAGTATTGAGCAAGGCCACTCCATTCCTAGTTCATGTTTTAGGTAGTTCTGTGTATCTGTTCCAAACAAATCAACATTAGATCACAGGAAGGATACAAAGAATAATTATTCACTACTACAGGATAGAATTGAAAAAATACAAAAATAAAATTGATGCTGAATAATTCCACAACAATTATCACTTTTTTCCCATATCATTTTTGCCCCCCTTCCAGATCTGAAGTGAAATTACAATGATGGTTTGGAAGCATCATGGTCAAAACAATGATCCAAAAAAAATTTCCCTTACCCTGCCCCATGTTATTATTATTATTATTATTATTATTGTGTGTGTGTGTGTGTGTGTGTTCATATAGCAAGTGAAAATATAAAAGACCACAAACAATGCTCTTTCTCTCTCCCTCCCTCCCTCCCTCCCACACACACATGAATCCACATTATGTTCCATGACACAGTAAAATTTCACGTATTAGAGAAGGTTGGAGAATGGCCCTGCAACTAATTCCCCGGAGGATGCAAAGTATTAAAAAATATGGAAACAAAGTGGCAAGAGTTGGAAGACTTGAAGGGATTGTAGCAGCAAAACATTGGGGGTGGGTGAGAGAGTGGGGGCAAAGTTCACAAAGGGGGGGGGGTAGATGTGAGCTGATTTGACTGGACTGCATGACGGACCCCCAAAGGGTGTGGGAACAGATTAAGATAATATTATATTAAACCCAGTTTTGATCTCAAGAGGGGGCAACGGGGGGGGGGGGGGGGAGATCACGAGCGCAGGGCTGTGTTGGCTCTCCGACAGCATACAGGCAAGGCATGGGGAGTGGACGGGGAAGGGGGGGCCCTGGTAATCGATCCTACGGTCACTAGACGTCACTAGAATGAGTATTTTAATAGAGATTTGAATGAATGGCCTTGCCTCGTCTTGTCTTGTCTAACTAAGCTTGGCACTTACTTAGGGACACACCGAGAGAGATAGAGAGTGTGCGGGGGACCCTTTCGGGACAAAACCACACCCTTACACACACACACACACTGACCCAGACCCACCCCACCTCACCCGCTGCTTCGGCTCGGCAGTTTCCAACATTCGTCGCAGGCACCTGCATGATCCCCCTCCCCATTCTTGCAGGAGGGAGCCAGTATACAAAGGATTGTGTGTTTAGGCCAGTCGTAGATTTCGACCAGATTGACGGTGGAGCAAGCTGGAGCAGAAAGGGGTGCGTGAGGTCGGAGTACTGAGGGTTTTCTCGTTGCTGCTGCTGCTGCTGTTGTTGTTGTTGTTGTTGTTGTTGTCGTGGCTGTTGTTGTTGTGGCTGCTGATATTGTGTGTTGTGGTCGATATACGACCTGTGAGAATTGTAGTGGTGAAGGTGAAGTAGGGAGGAAGGAGAGTAGGGGATGAGCAGGATGGTGGTGGAGAAGAAAGTGAGAGGAATCAGGAAAGAGGGTGATGTGGGTTGAGGACATCGAGCGGGTTTTCGAGGATTTGCGAACAGGTGGAAGAGGAAGCATCAGCAGGAGGGGGGACGCCGAGAGGAAGAGGCCGGGGTGAAGGGTGATGAGGAAGGAGGAGGTAGGTTGGTGCCGGGTATGTGTTCATGGCCGGGGTGGAGGAAGTGGGAGCACGGCCATCCGGCGCCCCTTCTGACGACGAGCAGAGTGGAAGCAGCGGGCGGGGAAGGAAGCTAGGAAAGCTACCGACTGGAAATCAGTTGGCCATACTGGAACCAGGGCGGAAACCCAGAGGGCGGCCGCCAGGATCCAAGAACAAACCAAAGCCCCCTGTGATCATAACACGAGAAAATGGAAACGCGATGCGACCGCACATACTGGAAGTCGCGGGGGGATGCGATGTTGGAGACTCTGTGGCATCGTTCTCTCGGCGAAGGCAGAGAGGGATTTGTGTGATGGGTGCCAGTGGTACCGTGTCGAATGTGACGCTCCGGCAACCGACGACCCCCGGGGCAACAGTCACGTTTCACGGCCGTTTTGAAATCATCTCGCTGTCGGGTGCATTCCTACCGCATCCGTCGTCAGCACCCACCACTGGGCTCACAGTTTCGCTTGCTGGTGCCGCCGGACAAGTGCTTGGGGGCAGCGTTGTAGGGACGCTAATGGCAGCAGGACCTGTCCTTGTGATTGCAGCATCTTTTATTGGCCTTACGTATGAACGGCTTCCTCTTGATAACGATGATGATGGATTGACCATGGGGCCTGGTAGCTCTACTCAACAAAACCCGTTAGCTATCCAGGCACCGGAGCTCAATTACCCTGCGGGATTGCAATCGCTCTACAGCATTGTCACACCACAGAACCCCAACCTTAACAACCAAGCCCAACAATTGTCCACACAGGATGTGTTGGGTCATTGGGCCGGAGGTGGAGGTAGTAGTCATCCTCACCATTCGCACGGGGGCCACGGAGGTCATGGTCATCACCAGCGACCCTCTCAATACTCATGAACTGGTTTAGGGTCTACAATCCATTGAGTCTTCGCTACAGCCGCGGAAGGAATCGGATAGTCATCAACTGGAAGATTTATCACTCTCACGGGCAGATGCTTTGATGATCAGACCATAACCGCTGATGATAGATTCGGATGTAATTCAGTTGTTGGCCACACTCCGATCCGTTCCTTCTATTACCAGTGCGATCAAGTGGTCGTCCACGAAGAGTGACGACGGCAATGCCTCTTCAGCCTGAGCCTCTGCTAGTTTTGCGTAGCCTTCAGAGCTGCAGCTTCAGCATCCAGGTGTCGTTTTTCTGATTCTGTAGTTACAGGAGGTTTCTCTGGAGTTCGTTAAAAGCTTACGTCTAGGTACTTGTCGAAGCATTTTTGCTGGTCGATGTAGGCACGGTTCTTGTCTCACTCTTTTCTGTGCAGTACAAATGACGAACTTTAGCCGCAATCGAGCCTCCTGTTCATGCTGTGGATACAGCCATTTTGCTTTCCTTACATGGACCATTCTGCTCTCTATCTCAATTAGTTCTTAGTAGAAAATATATTCCAGTATAAGTGATGATCAGAAGCTAGTTCACTGCTTTCACAGTTGGTTTTTCATTTGGTGTGGAGTGCTCCCGCCTGTGGCTTTTCTTCTGTTGATTTTGAACTGCATTATTCAATAGAGAAAATGATATTTTTGCGTATTGAGTCCAAATCTTCATGATGCAGCATGCCGTCAAGTTCCGAACAACCTTATTTTTGTTTGAACTCCTCTTTTCGATGTACTGTGCATTGTGGTTGTCAGTTTATTTGATCAGAGTGGTCAGTTATTGGTTACGGAAATTGTGCTGATTCAGTATTTTAAGTCTACTAAGCGATCGAATAAGGATGTATAAATATTCGACTTGGGGTCGAATAACATTAACCAGTTTGGCACCTCTTGGTTTCAACGTTACAGGCGGCCATGTGTCACGGGTTCCCATTGTTTAGATAACTTATGCATTATGAATCCACTAGTCTTGTTTTGCTTTGTCGTGTTTTGTTTTGTGGTGGTTTTTTTGTTTGTTTGTTTGTTTTTTTTCGTTTCCTGTTTTTTTTAATTGGCCCTTGCATGCATGGCACTATTGCTAGCGGGCAGCGCGGGAAACGCTGCAGGGAAATGTCTTCCGCTGAGATCCTGTTTTCATCAGTTTAGAGTGAGATACTGCTTCATCAGCCGCATTTGGAGCAGGGTCTGCCTGTTCTCATGATGCCTCATTTCGATAATTTAAATTACGAGAAAATCTCTTGTTCCCCGATCGAGAAACTATAATCAGTTGCCCAAGATTAGAGCACATGTCCAACGTTTAAGAGTGGGCACAAGCGATAGTGTTTTCTGCACTAAGAACAAGCCCACAAGTAACGGTGAAAGAATGTGCTGAGGAATGACTTCAGCACTCATTTTTTCACGTCTTAAATTCAAGGAACTGTAGTGCTCTCAAGGCCTAATCTAGTCTTTGGACATTTTAAATGTCATCTCACACCCTTATCCCTCTAGTATGGGTTAAACATTATGTTCGTTTGACAAGTTGACACCACTACCTTCAACCATGTTGTGTCTGATTCTGTTGCAGAATCTGCTTATTTACATTTAAGATTGAAATGGAAGATTCTGTACTTGACTACGATCCCGATGTAAATAATCTCGATCTTATTCCATCAGTCTGGAACCGTTTTAGGTTTTTAAACACAAGTCACAATGCAGAAATTCAACCTCCGCAGCCGTTTATGGTTTAATTTTGCTGGAGAAGCAGTTCAAAAATAAAAAATAACCAGGATGCAGTAGAAGCCCATCTATAGCTCGTATCTCTGTTGCCTTTTGTAGACACTCATTGATCGCATGATTGCAGAATTGTAGTACATCTTCATTCATTAAAGTATGGCATAATGTTTTACCTCCCCTTTTGAAATCTCCTTTCTCTACAAACAAATCAAGATTCAGTGCTTGTTGGATCATGTCACACCTAGGACGCAATACCATATCACCCAGGTTCCATCCTCCAACATCTGGTATCTGTTTGTAGGCAGCTGAAGATGTATCATAATTTTCTATGTGAGAGCATCAGCTACTCTGGTGCCGATAAAAGAGCAAACATCAGATTCGTAGACGAAGTCCGTACCGACTGGACATTGATGGATTCAGCAAATCGGAAGAATGTGCTGAGAAGACAATTCCTTACCAAAGGTACCACTGTCCTCGTTACTGTTAGTAAATTTCTACAGTAAAAGTCCCAGCTGCACAACCCAGCTGGTTAGTACATGGAATCATCCCACTGTGAGTTGTGACCTACTCTGCATCAATAACGAATTACTGAACAGGCAGCCCCTAGCCTGTGATAGTCTAGTGTTAATGGATACAAGCTAACGGTATACGGTCTTACATATATTAACTAATCCTTATATATATATATATATATATATATATGTTCACAGACACATACGTTCGGGGAGATTTTTAAGAAAATATCATACCACCGGATGTGATTAAGACTTGCCACAGAATACCTCCCGGTAGTTGAGATGGTCAGCTCAGTACTCAGATCAAGAGCCCTCGATCACCTCAATTTAATCAGCCCTGTTGATTTTGATTTTATCTGAGACGTTTTTGCTTCCACTATTCAAATAATTATTGCAGGGTGGGTCTTCTCTGCTAGACAGGTTTTCGACACTCATTGATCAGTTTCGAACGGTTGGATGTATAAAGCGTAAAGCCGTTCGGCTTTTGAGGAAGGCTTGCAGCGTGGGAACACATTATCGTACAGCACGCAGGATCTCAATAAAAATTGACTGCCCTATTTATGCAATCTCTTTTAACTTCCAAAGCATGAGGGGGGGGGGGGGGCAGCTGGTCGATTTAACACGTCTCGAAGATTACTGTTTCAACATTAACAAGTGCACGTCGAACTATGTCTCCTACTTAACACGTTTTCCGCAATCGATAGCCGCATACTCATAATGATCTCTCGACGACTCTCGCGGTTGAATCCTCTCTTCGGCAAGCATCATGCACGTTGATGACGCTGTCACTTGTGTATTTTCTTCCATTTCATCAAAAAAGATTCGGTCAAGCTAGGAACGTGGAGAAAAACAGAAAGCACACCTCATGACTATGTGGACGACCGTTCTGGCTACTATGCAAATCGTTTCAAGAAAAGTAGGGCGATTTAGAGTTCGAATACCGAACTAGGAATAGCGATTTACAGCCCCTTCTTAGATAATCATGGCTTGTTTATCACGTTCACGAGCAGGTAGTTTGCGGTGGCAACCTTCGTGTCACCCAGAGAATAGAATTCCAACACGGGAGCCGGTCAAAGCAAGAATCACACGGCCCTTCCATCTCCGGCCAGTTTCCCTGTAACTTTCCCCACCCTCCCCCGAAACACAGTGCGCACAGCGGAAGCTTATTGGAGGTTCCGGTGGGCATCTTTGTCTTTCTCCTACATATGAACCTCGGCAGGATTGCAGCCAGATTCCTCCATGTCTTGGAGGGCACCTCTTTCTTAGAAACCATGCGGGGTACAATGATTTCCTTCCTCAATAGTGTGTGTCGTGCGCTGGGATGGATAACGTCACGAACGGGCCAGCAGCAGTTGAAAGCTAGTCTTACTTGCTTGCTTGCTAGCAGCGAATGTGTGTGTGTGTGTGTGTGTTTGGGGTCCAGTCTACTCTTTCCCTGCACGGTCCCACCGATCTAGCGTGTCTTGGTACTTGGGACTTCGTCGTCGTCGTCGGGGCTGGCGAGGGATGCAATAATTTTGTGCATCGTCAGACACTAGAAAGTCAGGCACACCTAGTGGCAGCATCAAAGACTAGGGTCAGGGAGGAGACCAGAACGGTACACCACATACATACATACAAAATTGGCACTAAACAATACCAAAACAAAAACAAAAACTAGTGCCATGTCTTTGTCTTTTTGGGAAGCTGGGTGGCTAGTAAGCAGGCATTTCTAGTTGTTTTTCCCTCATCTTCGACTAACTTAGCTCCCATTCATTCCTTCCTCCGTGCAATTTTCCTTCCTTCCTTTCTTGTGTGTGGAACCTGGGCCCAGCTAGTTACTTCCGCCGCTCACTCGCTCGACGACTGAACCCACCAGTGAGTGAGTGAGTTCATCGCTGACGCCGGCGATGGGTGGGTGGGTGGGAATCAGACCCACTTCAGCTCACGTCACATGAGAAAAATGAGTCTGTACCTGCCAGGAGAGATGCAGAGCTCACAACACTTGCATACTAAACAAAAAAACAAAAACTCATATACAAACAATCAAACAAACAAACAAAACATAACAATAGATAGAATGAAAGACGGAAGGAAGGAAGGCAAGAAAGAAAGAAGCAACAAATAGCAAATTTGGAGAAGTTTTTGTTTGAGTTGGGAAAATCTTGCGTCACCTTGTCTGTGTGAGTGTGCTGTTCTGTTTTGTTTCTTTTCGTCATAATTTTTTGTTTTTGTAGCTTTGGTGTTACCAGAGTCCTTGAGAGGAGGTGCAGGATGATATAAGATAAGATAAGCTAAAATAAAATGAAATAAAAAAAAAGAAAAAGAAAAAAGAAGTATGATTGTCATTTGAAGCCCTTTGCAATCTGTTGCTTGATGAATTTTTGGCACCTAGAAAAACTTGTTGATGAATATCATGTGAATTTTCCAAATGAATTTCTGAAATGATTTTCTTTAATTTCTATATTATTTGTGAAGAGAAATGATGAGTTTGCTTGTTTAATTACTTATTTTTTATTTTTATTTTTATTTTGTTATTGTTGAGTGTTGATCATTGTGGTTTTGGAATGAAAACAATGATAATTTCTAGTTGTTCTAGGTGTCATTATTAAATAATGATAATTGTTGTTGTAAACTATTTTTTAAACCTTTTTAGTTTTAATTTAGAGATAGGCCAAAAGATCCAATAATTCTAAACCATAATTTCCAATCTTCATTGAATAAAACATGCTATTACAATAATTGATTTTTTAAAATTATATTTTAATACTCTGTAAATTTTAATTTAGTTTTTGGTTTGTTTCAACATTATGTTTTAGCTAGTTTAATATATAAATGGATCTTTTAATTTTGATATTGTTTTAGCTAGTTTAATATATTAAATTTTTATATTGAATGATTATTATTAATTTTAAGAGTTATTAATATTATTCTTTTAAAAAAAACAGGCGGGTTATTTCTTCTGACATTCTACTCTTAGAAATTTCTAAAAATAATCTAAAATTTTCAAAGACATGTAAATTTAGAAGAATTTGCAAAAATATGGTATCTTCAGTTTATTTATTATTGTAAGGTCTTGTGCAAAATCTCATTAATCCTGTAGCTGTAGTATATTTTGTCATTTACATACACAAAAGAAAATACAAAATTTAAACCAAAGCTTGTCACAAACTAAACATATCTATAGACTTAACAAAACCTAGCTTGGTAAAATATGTTCTAAATCTTATAAGCTATAAATGCTATTTTTTAATAGAATAAGGATATTGTTAATGCCACCATAGTTTTTGCCATTACCACTACAATCTTATTTTATATTAAAAATTTAAATATTTTTTTATAAAAATTAAATTTATTTCATTATAATTTGAAAACAATTTTTTTAAATAATAAAAAATATTGAATTTTTTATTGATTGGAATAATAATGATAATAAAAACTTAAAGAAGATA